CAGATTCACAAGTCCAGGGAGATCAATCTATGAAAAAGTCATTGAAGTGAGAACCAAGGAGCAGAGGAAAGGGAAATATTTAATCTTGTTTTCTGTTGTGAATTATTATTATTATTTTTTAATATCTGGACTTTTGTAGCAAAGATGAATGCTAAAAATGTTTAGTTTTGTGAATCAGGTGCACCTTTATTACATGCAGACTTTTCATATTTATTATTACTAATATGGACAGAGTTGTTGTTGTTGTTAAGTACTGTTGAGTCGCAGGCGACTCATAGAGACCCTATGAAGGAGAGTCCTCAACGCTTGGGTGTCTCTCATCCTCTTTCCAGGTTTATAGGGTTTCTGAGGCAAGCTATTACGGAAGTGGATGCCACTCCTCCTTCCAAGCTTGTTTTAATCGGGGAGCTCCACCCCACTCTCATGGACAGAGAGTTTCAGTTTTAATAATAAAATCTGATGGCTGTTTAAAAAATATGACTAATGCACACCCATGTTTATTGCAGCTTTGTTCACAATAGCAAAGAGTTGGAAACAACCAAAGTGCCCATCAACAAACAAATGGATAGAGAAGCTGAGGTATATTCAGACAATGAAATACTATGCTGCATTGAAAAACAAAGAACTCATGAAATATTATACAAAATGGGTGACTCTGGAGGACATTATGCTGAGTGAAATATCTCAGTCACAAAAGGACAAATATTGCATAGTGTCACTGTTGTAACACTGGGGTTGGAGGGAGACTGAGAAAGAGAGTGTAAGTAATGTATACTGCATTGAAACAGATGATGGAGAGAACTGTTTAAAAGGGACATATGGTTAGGTATTATTGTCATGACAGGAGTCCAAAATGAAGGTTGCATAGAGGAGTGGACTTGGGGGTAGGGATTGTATAACAATGAAATAATTTTTCTTTTACTTTTCAAAGAGAAGAGCGAATTGGGGGGAGGGCTGCGCAGAGAGAAAAATGTGACAATGAGTGAATGGAAATCTGAAGTTTCTGTAAACTTTCATTAAAATTAATAAAAAATAAAAAGAAAAATATGACTAGGAGAAAGAGATAACTTAGATTTCTTTTTTCTCCACTCAGAGGTACTTCTTTAAAAAAATTGAGATTTCAATGAAAGTTTATAAAGAACTTGGGTTTCCAATGGATATTTATTTTTAAGCAAAGAAAGGCAAAGTAAACTGGAAGCATTTGTTTTAGAAATCATGCTGACAATATTTATTAAATTTGAAAATGATCATATCCTGTGTTTCATACTTCAACATCTAGGAATTTGTTCCTTAGACATAATCTTACATATACAAAGATGATCATATATGATGTTGTTTGCAAAAGTGTTACATTGACTAACTAGAATTTCTAAGACTATAAACTTCCATTACTTTGTTAATATTTACATACATTAAGGCACATGAAATTATTAAATGATATGAACTGTTAAAAATAAGCAAGTAGATGAATAGCACTGACATGAAAAAAATCTCTATGATTTTTCTCATATTAAAAAAAATTGGTTAAGCTTAGAAATATGCCTGGAAAATTGCTATATTGGTTATCAGGGGCAGCAAGTGATCTGTGACCTCCTAAAAATGAATTCTAGCCTTTTAGTATTTTATATTGTTATAATTTTTTTAAATGAGCACAAATGCTTACATTACTAGTATAGCTAAAAAGAAAAAAAATAAATGAAATGTCATCAACAGAATGTATACCAAAGACAACAATAACAAGACTTCTCAATTACTTTTCTTGTTGATATTTTTAATATCCATCTGGCAATGCAAGGTGGCAATGTTTATATAACCTCAATTTAATATTTGGACTTTACACAACAAAATGTATCTTATCTTTTGGAAACAGGGATTGAGGCTAGATATTTTCAAAATTACTTCACTAAATTGGATATTAATTATTTGAAATAGTTTTCCATCCTAAAAGATGAAAATAAAAGTTGTTTGAGGTATCCATTCAGTTTTGAAGGCTTGAATCTTAATTTCTTCTATATCCGTAGACAATCTGGCACATAGTAAACACCCAGTAAATATCAACTGAATGATGAATGAATTAATAATTTACACCTTTTTATTGTTGTTATTGTTAGGTGCCTTTAGTAGACTCTGACTCATAGGATCCTACATACAACAGATCGAAGCTTTGCTTTGTTGTTTTGATTGCTAGTCCTGTGTAATTCTCACAGTCTCCACTATGCTCAAGCTCACTGTTGCTGTCACTGCGTCATTACATCTCACTGAAAGTCTTCCTTTCCTGACGCTTGTCTTTTCCCAAGAACTGGCCCCTCCTGATACTACGATCAAAGGATGTGAAAGGGAGTCTTAACCTCCTTCCTCTAGGGAGGTCCCTGGCTGTATGTGTTGTTGTTATGTGCCATTGAGTCGCTTGCGACTCATAGCGACCCTATGTACAACAGCCATAAACTCTGCTCTGTCCTGTGCCAATCGCACCATCTCCGACACACCCATCCCGGTTACCTCAATTACTGAATCAATCCACCTCATAGGGGGCCTTCCCATTCTGCTCTGTCCCTCCACCCTACCAAGCATGATGTCCCTCTCCAAGGACCTGTCCCTCTTTGCAACATGTCCAAAGTATGTTAGAAGGAGCCTTAGAATCCTTGCCTCCAAGGAGCCGCCCAGTTTAACCCTCTCCGCCTGCTGCAGAGTGTCAAGGACTGCAGCCTACAATATGGATTGAGGCTCAATGTCAAGAAGACAAAGATTCTCACCACTGGACCAATTGGCAGCATCAGTATGGATGGTGAAGAGATTCAGATTGGTCACAGCTTTAGTTTGCTTGGCTCCATAGTCAACAGTCTTGGCACCAGCAGCCAGGAAATTAAAAGGCGCATTGCCATGGGCAAGTCTGCTGTTAGGGACCTCTCCAAATTACTGAAGAGCAATGGTGTCTCTCTGGAGACTAAGGTGCGTCTGATACAGGCCATGGTTTTTGCAATCACTTGTTATGCATCAGAGAGTTGGACAATGACTAAGGAGGATAGAAGGAGAATTGATGCCTTTGAGCTGTGGTGCTGGAGAAGAGTATTGAGAATAGCATGGACTGCTAGGAAAACAAACAGATTTGTCCTGGAAAGGGTTAAACCGGGTGGCTCCTTGGAGGCAAGTAAGTATTCTGAGGCTCCGTCTAACATATTTTGGACATGTTATGAGGAGAGACCGGTCCTTGGAGAGGGACATCATGCTTGGGAGGGTGGAGGGACAGCGCAGGAGAGGAAGGCCCTCTATGAGGTGGATTGATTCAGTGACTGGGATAATTGGGATGGGGGTGTCAGAGACGGTGCGATTGGCACAGGACAGAGCGGAGTTTAGGGCTGTTGTACATAGGGTGGCTATGAGTCGCAGGCGACTCGACGGCACATAACAACAACAACAACAAATAACAACAGGATGAATCTGTTTGTTTTCCTAGCAGTCCATGGTACCCTCAACACTCTTCTCCAGCACCACAGCTCAAAGGCATCAATTCTCCTTCTGTCCTCCTTAGTCATTGTCCAACTCTCTGATGCATAACAAGTGATAGCAGAGACCATGGCCTGTATCAGACGCACCTTAGTCTCCAAAGAGACACAGATTTGTTTGTTTTGATAGTCCATGATTGTTGTTGTTGTGTACCGTGGAGTTTGAATTGACCCATAACTGACCGATAGTTCAGCGGGTTTTCAGAGGCAGTAAATCGCACGGGAGGAGATTGCCTACCCTTCTCCCGCTGAGCAGCTGGTGACCTCGAACCTTGTGCCTTTGAGATTGCAGCGCAGCTTCTTGACACTAAATACTCTTATCCAATACAATGCAAAGGCATCAATTCTTACTTGGTCTTCCTTATTCTTTGTGCATTTTAGTTGTGTAATTTATTGAGGTTCTTGTTACCTGCTTTGCAAATGTGGCACCTGCTTTCTATTCCGGAAGCTAAGAATTTGGTGAAGGACAGCATTTAGAGGCTGTTATGAATTGGAAATCATTCCACTTCAGAACTAAACATTTCTTTTTTTATTTTTTATTATTTTTTGTGTATGCACTGTCAAATGGGATCTGACTGGTACAGGAGGAGATTGCCCCTCCTTCTCCCGCGGAGTATCTGGCGGATTTGAAGTGCGGACCTCTGAGATTGCAGTGCAGCTTCTTGCCACCAGGCCACCAGAGCTCCCCTAGACATTTTATGAAAGAGAAAGAGGCAAGGGAATTGTGACAAGTTTTTTGTTTGTTTGTTTTGCTTTTTGCTTACACTAGAAGAATGGCCTTAAAAGGCTGAGGATTGATTCCTCTGGGAGCAAAATGTGTGCTCTGTTCCCGTAAAGATTACCGCCTAGAAAATCCTGCGTGGCAGTTCTGCGCTGTCATATGGGGTCGATATGAGTGAAATCAACTCCATTCACCCAACAGAGGGAAATAGCATATTCGTTCTGTAGCATATTCTTCCTGGCTGTGAAAGTGAGGACAAATTATCTGGAGAATGGAGATAATAATCCTTCCTCTGGGGGCGAGGGGATGGGCCTCGCATAAATGAAGGTTCATATCGCTTAGGGTTCGAACTTGTGCTTCATATGACTTCGCAGGGCTGTGAACACCGCACTCAGAAGACTGTGCACAGTCAGCGTCTGGCTGGTAGGCGTTGTGCTTGCAGCGAGGCACTTCCGCCTGCCTCGTCCACCCGAGACGATTAAGGCAGGGTTCAGGGTTCCACCCCAGTCTCCCAAGTGGGTTCCCCTAGGCTGTCTCCACTAGCAGAGGAAGATGTTCAAGTAAGTCGCCCCTGGGACGCGAAGCCGGAAGGCCCGCGGAGCCGGAGTCAAGGCCCGCAGGGCAGTACAGTTGACAGTACAAGGTGCGCGCTCCCGCAAATGAAGGAGGGGGACTGAGTTGGCTCAGGGAGGCTGGGCGCGCACGCGCGCCGGAAAGAGGGCCCGGGAGACGGAGTTCTCAGAGCATGGGCGGAAGGGGGCGCCCCGGAGCCAAACCTGAGGTCGGATGTGGGCGGGGCCCAGAGAGGGCGCGAGCGCAGGGGCGGGCCCCGAGGGAGGGCGTCGACGCTAGGAGGGTGGGGTTAATTGAGGCGGGGACGCGCTTGCGGGGTGGGGGAAGGCGGGGGCGCGGCGGTGGCGGGAGCGTGCCCGGTCCCCGCCCCTGTTTCCCACTCTCCTTCCACCTCCGACCGGCCGGGGTTCGGGAGAGGTGCCGCTCGCCCGTCCCCGGAGCCACCCTGTTGCCTGTGCTTCCTTCCTCTACTCGCGGGGAGCCCGTCATTTCCCGCACCGTGCGCTCTTTCATCTGGGCCATGGATGGGTAAGTGCTAGGTGGTGCGGCGGCCGTGCAGGGCGGTTCTCGCTCTGCTTCCTTTCGGCTCTCGGAGGCCGGAGAGCCGGGCGGGGCGCGGGCGCCCGAGGAGCAGCTCCAACCTAGCCCGACGGCGGGGCTTCCGGGCGCCTCCTTGGGCTCCCGGAATCGCAGAGGGACTGCCCGTCTCAGCCTCTCTTCGTCCCACGCGGCGCCCCCTTCATGTCTATCCTTTTACGCCCTCATACCACACACTGGGAAGCGAAGAAAGCCCGGTCCGGTGTCGGGGTCCGCCCTCCGCGCCCAGAGCCGCGGGAGCCCAGCCTCCCGACACTTCCTTTCAGAAAATGGTGCGCGGCGCTTGGGGCGGGCGGGCGCCCTTCTGCTGGGGAGTCGCTGTTTACCGGTGAGGTGGAGCGAGCGGGAGCCCTTCCCCCGGCGGGGAGGTGAGTGGCCGCGACCGTCCCCGTCTGGGCCGTCTGGGCGGCGCCCTGGTCCCGAAGCCAGGGCCCCACGCGGGATCTCGGAACTGCCAAGGGACGGTCGGAGGTCTGCAGATTTGTGCAATCAGATGCTAAAGATTCCTCTTTGCCAAGGCGTCTGGGCTTGGTGACCGTGGGCGCTTGCCCCCGCCCATCCCTTCCTAAAAGAAACTTGGTGAATCCTCTGCCATGTATGCAAAATATTCCTTAGTTGCAATTCTCAGGGCTTTTTAAACGCTTGAAAAGGTTAAGCGATCTCCCCCCCCCTCCCCCAAAGTGTGTGTGTGTTTGTATGTATGAGTGTGATCGCTCGTATAAAAATTGCTGTGAAGACCCAGCTATGGGGAAGGTATTTTAATGATGAATTGAAAGTTGTAGTATATCTAAATCAAGATTAAAAAATAAGACCCCCAGCTTTCTTAGAACTGCTAGTCCTTTTATTTACTCCCATTTTGCATTTCATACTTTATTTGGCCTGTTGTCTACTTTTGATGACAAGATAAAATAAGTGGGACTTGCTTGAATAGTGAACGCTTGCTGTGTAGTTAGGCTGGTAGAGTTTGAACTCTTCCAATAGTCTTTGAGCTCATTAAATTTCATTTATCTTAGTTTTAACAGTATTACATTTTTATGGTATATTGGCTTAACCCCTTCGATACAGATTGTAGACATCAGACAATTTTAGATTGTATTTATAGTGGTGCTTTTTTCATTGTCTTAATTGCAGCTATTTGTGTTGTTCAGTGAAAGCTTCTCTAAGAGCATTGTTGAAAACTCTTGTTACATTTTATCTGTGTGCAAAATTTTGCTATTTTCTCTTTTGTGAAGTTAGGAGAGATGGAAACAGTTTAGCTTTTTTGTGTCAGTATATAATAAAGATTACTCTTGGTTTATTGATCTTTGGTGGTTTTTTGCTAACTGTTCTTTTTATAGTGTTTAAGAAGTTGGCTTTTACTCCCATTTGTGGTTTTAAAGCTAATAATGAAATTATTGCTTTATATAAGTGGTTAGTGATACAGATAGTGGAATTTCAAATAGTACACAATTTTTTTTTTTTAAATAAAAATCCAAAACAACCCACCATAGATACTTACATATTTATTAGGCAAATAAAATTTCAACTTCAAAAGTCTGTAAGAAAAAAAAAAAATGTCATGGTTATTGGTTAAAACAGTTTACAGAATTAAACACTAGTGTTTCTTTACTTTTATGAATTAGTTTGATGGCATAGGTTACTAGCACTATGTGGAATTTAGTTGGTTTTTTTTTTTGTTTGTTTGTTTGTTTTTAGGCAGTACAGAGGCCAAAACTATTAATTGAGTATAACTTCTTTGGTACTAGAAAAAACTGATTTTTACATGGCAGACTTTATGGGCGGGTTTTTTTTACACCCTGGTCTTGAGGGGTGTGGTTTTGAGCAGTGTGAACTTTTGCCTTCAGGCGATTTAATTAAATTTCCCCCCCCCCCACATTTTCCCACAGCCTAAAAAAGTTTCTTTTTCCTTATCTTGAGTAAAGGTAAACACCCAAAATGTATCTTTGTAGTTGTTCCTCAGATCCCAACTTTTCCTATGTGTTTGTGTTATTTTCCTCCCAAGACAGAATTTGCACGTTAATTTTTTCTTGTTTTTGAAACTGTTGCTGTCTGAAATTTGTTTTGGTTTTTTTTTTTTAAATTCTGAGAGGCTGCCTATATTTTCATGAGAAGTCTTGAATGTGGATGTAGATGAAAGATAACACTATTTCTTTAAAATCAAAGTCTGGTTTTGTTTCATTTAAAACTTGAGACACTTTAATTCATACTGGTGATTAAAAAAGGAAACTTCTCCTAATGTAAGTTGTGGCTTGGATTTGCTAGATAGAAAGAAATTGATGACCATAGGCCCTCAAAGAAATGCATAGATAGTGTCTGCAGCAATGGACTCAATGAGTCCAAAATGATAAGGATAGCATGGGATAGGACAGTTCAGATCTATTGTTTATAGGATCCTATGAGCCGCTCAACTTCACAACAACAAATATTAAAGAGGAATTTAACTGCTTTTTTCTTACAGTATCATTACCACCTTACTTTGTTTACTCTGCTGTATCAGCCTGTCCCATCATTTTTCTTTGTATTAATGTTTCATAACTCATTTCATTCTTATTATTTGTTAGTGCAATGCCTTTTCTTTTTTTTCCTTAATCTTATTATCTCTGTTTAAAAAAACTTGTTCTCTAACTTTGTTTTCCATTTTCTCTTTTTACTTTTTTTTCATACAGTGTTGTTACAGATCTTATAGCAGTTGGTTTAAAGGTAGGAAGCTTTTACTCTCTTTTCTTAAGCGTTTTAATATCTTTGTTTTTTCCCCCTGCTGGTGGAGCCACCTGTTATAAAACGACCTGTTTTAAGTTGTATAATAGTTCTTCATTCTTATTTAGCTTCAGCTAAAGAAATTTATAACTAATTTTGGATTTTTTTAAAAAGAGAAGCTATAGTCCTAAATTTCACTTGGATTGTCAGGATATCTATTTGAGCAGTTAAATGCAACCAAGGTATTGATTTATTGGCTCATCCTGTCCTTTCTTGTAGCCTCTCTAATGTGCTTATAAATAGTCAAAAGAATAATATAATTTCTTCAGCTTCTACCTTATTGCTTGTTCTGCTTCCTCTACATGTATTTCCACTCTTTATAAAAATCTATAAGGAACGTATAAATATTCCTTTTTCAGAGATTAAAAAAATAAATTTAAGAAGTTTATGTGCCAAGGAATGGCGCACTTTAGAGTTCAAACCCATACTTCCTGGTTCTCTCGATTGATTCCCCACCTCTTTTTTAATACAAATTACTTTGGCAGTGAGGGTTTTGTCTAAAAGATGAGCAGCAAGAGAGCTGGATAATTTATATTATAGTAAAGATTCTACATTAAAAACCATTTCCCTGTTAGGAAAATCTTCTCATTTATTAGATTTTCAAATATGTAAAATACAACTGTTGCTTTTAGTTGTAGCGATTTGGTATTTGAAATAAGAGTTGAGATAATCTAGCTATGGAGGTTGCTTATATACTTTGGGTTGATTTTAGTAATATCTAGTACATGCATTACATATATTTGAAAAAGTATACTCAGGATGGGGATGGGGGGATTGTATACCAATGAAGGAGTTTTTCTTTTGCTTTTCAAGGAGAAGAGCGAACTGGGGGTGGGGGTGGGGTGGCAGGGAGAAAAGTGCAACAGTGAATGAATGGAAATCCAAAATCTTTGTAAATGTTCATTGAAATGAATTTAAAAAAAGTGTAGGTTGTCTTATATGAAGTTATTCCACCACTTTCTGTTAGCCGTATCTCTGCATCATTTCTTCTTGCCAGCAGCATCAACATGTCATTTGCACTTAATTGAACTTGATGGTGCTCATATATTAAACTAACACCTTAAGAATAACCTTAAATAAGTAAAGCACACTTGACACTAACAATAAACAGTCTTTTGGAGTTAGGTAGATTGACCTTTGAGTGGACTTACAAGTACAGCATGAGTAGAAGAGCCTTTTTAGGTGGGCCTGATTTTTTTTTCTTTTTTAAGATATTTAATAAGTCCGTTTCTGTTTTGAGAGAGATAGAAACTTCAGAGACTGAAAACGTGTCAGCTCATAGGTAAGATCCAAATTTGGACCCAGGTATGTGTTGATGAGGGGAAAAGTATTTAAAGTGAATACTGCTTTTGATTTTATCAGAAATATATAATTTGTGATTTTAGAATTTTATCAGGCAAAGATGAATACATAAAAAATTGTTTTGGAATTAGAAAATATCTTTAAAGGACCATCATGCCTGTTTTATTGTGGGAAAATTACATCTTGACACTAAATGAAAGAAAATGTAAATGTTAAATGTTAGGATCATATTTGAGTTCAGGATTTTGATATCTGAGCACTTGCTTTATAGCAAAGCACTTTGAAAGCTTAAAGGTCAGGTCCTACTGAGATGAGCTGATTACTCTAACTCAGTGGGAACAACTGTGTTTTAAAAACATAAGTTCTGGAAATGTGCTGTAAAATTTTTTGTCGTGTGGAGAGTTTTTTAATTAGAATTTTTCTGCTGCTTTTCTTGAACTCTGTCAGAGGGAAGTTTAGTTTCCTAATAGGCCAGTAAAGTTAAATTTTGTCCAAGTTATATGAAGGATAATAAACCAAATTTAGTAATTTTTAATGAGTCCCTTAAACATGTCATTTATTTATCCACCTGTGTTTGTTGTTGGAATATGATGACACAACAAATGATTTTTAGTTGGTGGCACAAGTGAATTCTGGGTTATGCATCTTCACAAAAAGATTCTCTAGAATGTGTTAGAGGGTAGAGATTTTGTATTTTCCCCCTCACTACAGTTTCCACTGTTTGGCATGTAATAGCTTTTAAGCTTATTTGGTGAATGAACAAGTGCCAAATTGTTATAAGGCTAGTTAAGTGGAAGCTTTGTTCTGGACCCAAGTCTTCTAATTTTGCTAGTATTTCTTCTGTTACATATATAAGATGTGAGAGAAATACTTTTATTTTTTTAGATTGAAATCTTGAAGATAGATAAACATTCATTGGTAGTTGGGGGGGGGCATACTATGCTTAGGATTTTATGGGTACCCAAAAGTTTATATATTCTGGATGAACTCTGTGGGTTACCAATTTTTGAACTGTTTCTAAATTAAGGAAATTAGTTTGAGGTACTTCTTGTGAAATTTTCAGTGTATTTCTTTATGCTGTTATGTATTGCAGAATGCATCTTGAGAACCATTTAAAAGTACTTCTAACCTTAATTCTCAATACTTGTAATGAAGAAACAACTGTATAATTGGATGTATTAAAGATACTTATTATGCCAGATAAATCTAGATGTCAGCATTGTGGATAAAAACATACAACTTTTAGTGTGTGCTTCTTAATTTGTGTGTATATTTAAATTTTCAGTGTACACTTTAGTTATCACTAGCCAGTTTGTCCTAAATTCAGATGTTTTTCTTATTCCTGGTTATTTTTTTCAAAATAATAGTGATTAGAAGAAATGATCCTTTAAAATAATGTTCGATATTTAAAAAGGTTTTAGCGTGTGTTTGTTTTTTTTTTTAAAAAAAACCCCTTATTTTAAATGATTAGGTCAGTATAGAAAAACTGGCTTCTAATAACTAACATGTTTGTCATTGTGTAGGAAAGAACAATGTAAGATATTTAAATTAATTCTAGAGATCAATTTTCTATTTGTTCGACCAGGGGTTAGCAAACTGTAGCACCTGCACTAAATCTGGCTTGCCATCTGTTTTTGTAAATAGCTTTATTGGAATACAGCCATACTCATTCATTTCATATTGTCTGTGGCTACTTTCACATTATACAAGCAGAGTAAAGTAGTTGCAAAAGAGACCATATGGCTTCCAAAACCCAAAATACTTAACTTTTTCACCCCGTATGGGAAATTTGCCTACTGCTGTGTTTGGCTATAGTAAATGTAAAATTTTGCTTTCAAGGTGTAATTTATATAAAATGACATGCATAGCACTTTAACGGTACAATTCAGTAAATGTTGACAAATGTATATAGTTATGTTTCCTAAATCCCAATCAAAATAGTAGACATCATTCCAGGAAATTTCCTGTTGCCTTTTTCTGGACCTAATCTAGGGAGGGAACTTTGTGGCCTAGTAGCAATGAACTGTGCTGTCAACTCAAAGGCACATGGTTTGAATCTGCTCCCCTGTGATTTACTGCATCTGGAAACTGCTGACTGATCAGCTGTGAGTTCCAACTTGATGGTAACCAGCTACCACCACCACCTAGGTAACTGTCTGGTTTCTATTACAAATAGTTTGTCTCCTCTCGAACTTCATATAAATGGAACATAGTATAAACTAGTATCTGGCTTCTTTTCCTTAGCGTACATGTTCTGAGAGCCACCCATTTATCTAGCAGTTTCTTTTTTCCACTGTGTAGCTATGGTTGTTATTATGTGCTCTCGAGTCACCTGCGACTCATAGTGACCCTATGTACAGCAGCTCTAAACTCTGTCCTATCCTGTGCCAACCTCACCATCTCCAACATGCCTATCCCCAATACCCCAGTCACTGAATCAATCCATCTAATAGAGGGTCTTCTTTTCCTGCGCTAACCCTCCCCCCTCCCAAGCATGATGTCCCTCTCCAAGAACTGGTCCCTCCTTGCAACATGTCCAAAGTATGTCAGACGCAGCTTCAGAATCCTTGCTTCCAAGGAGCAGCCCTGCTTTACCCTCTCCAGGACAAACCTGTTTGTTTTCTTTTTCTTTTTTTTTTATTTAATTTTTTTTTTTTTATGTGTATACCGTCAAATTGGATCTGACTGGTACAGGAAGTGATTGTTCCTCCTTC